AATTAAGTAAATCTTCTACTGATCATGTGCATTTATCTGACCCTTCTGAGTATAGAAGATTAGTTGGAAGATTGTTATATCTCACTATAAGCAGGCCTGACATTGCATTTGCTGTTCAATCTTTAAGTCAATTCATGTCTAGTCCATCTCAGATTCATATGACTGCAGCTTACAGGGTGTTAAGGTATGTGAAAAACACTCTTGGCAAAGGTATATTGTTCCATAAACACTCCTCCTTTAATTTTACTGCATACTCAGATAGTGACTGGGCATCTTGTGTTGACACAAGAAAGAGTGTCACTGGATATTTAATTTTCCTGGGTGATTCTCTTATATCTTGGAAATCCAAGAAACAACCCACAATAAGCAAGTCCTCTGCAGAAGCAGAGTACAAGGCTTTGGCTTTCACCTCCTGTGAAATCTAATGGTTAATATCCTTATGCAATGAATTGGGTTTCACACTTAATGCTCATGTTTCTCTATTTACAGATAGCAAGTCTGCATTAGCCATGGCACAAAATCCTGTATTCCATGAAAGGACCAAACACATAGAGCTTGACTGCCACCTGATCCGAGAGAAAATTTCCAAAGGCCTAATTCATCTTCAACACATTTCCACCAAAGATCAACTAGCAGACTTCCTCACAAAGCCCTTACCAGGCCCTGCATTCCAGCACCTTCTTTCCAAGATTAGCATGCCCAATATACATGCTACTCTTGCGGGGGGGTGTTAACATATAGAATAATCATTTTATTTGCAATAGGCATAGTTGTTATTTGTAATAGTTGTTATTTGTAATAGCACCTTTAGCATTATTTTCCTTAGCACTTCTTCACTGTTCAACACTATAAATACCTTGTAACAGCAAAACCCTAAACCACTTGTTGTCATTTTTATTTTTCGATCTAATACAGAAATCTTTCCTCTCTCTTGTTCTCTCATTCTCTCGTTCTTCAATCTTCAATCTTCAATCTGATTCTTAATATCTAACATCTCGAGTTCGAGCCCTGAGAATGCAGCAGTGTTAAAACTCTTGAGGGAGAGCTTTGCCGCCATTGTGGTCCTACCCGGTTCGATTCTAGATTAGTCGGTCCCCTGTGGATCTAGAAATCGGTAGGTCCCTGTACAAAAGAAAAAAAAAAAAAGATTATGCTAGGAAACTTTACATAAGAACTCCGAAATTATTATCATTAGAACTATATTTTTGCAAAATGTAGTGAAGTTATTAACATGAATTTTTTAAGTATAACATGTGCTTTGTGGGCCTTCGAATTTGAATAAATAAGAACCATACTTTTGGTGAGCCAAAATAAAATAATATGTCCATTACACATGTATATATATAATTAAGTACACAAACATGTGAGATATCACTTTAAATGAAACTTTCTTGCTTCTAAATTTGGATTATTATCTGCCTCCACCTAATGCCAATACATAAATTAAGTATTATTAAATCAATAGAAAATATCATCTTGTAGGAATATTTGCTTTTGGTTAATTAATTTGGCAGTTCATCAGGACACAAATAAATAAAATAATTTCATGGCCAATTATTATTCAACTAAAAAAATTAATTAACATTTAAATCTAACACTAATGGGAAAATTATAGAAAATGTATTATAAAATAAAGCTACTAAAACAATTAAAAATTCAAGGTCCGTAAAATTAACACAATTTTTTAAAAATTATATTCACTTCGTATAAGTTTCTCTTTTCTAGGATACAACGAAAAAAATCGATTCGATTTCAGCGAGATAAAAATAAGTCTGATCCAAAACACAATTATATATAGGATAGTTATATTTTTCTTGTTACTTTTGAACCAATCCTAATACACATTACAATTGATATTGTTGAATTATATTATTACTATTCACTTTTTTTTTTTTTAATTTATCCAACGTATATATCACCAAGATTCCGCCGAAAGATTAAAAGACAAATTAATGTCCAAGTTTTTCAAAAAGGAGACCGATGAAAATCTGTAATTGTAGGATGCAGATCTTAAAAAGGATGTATTTTTTACTCTTTACACAAAACATAATATAATACATAATTAGTGAGCCTTTTCTCTATTGAGTTATAAAATATTGAGATATTGAGACTTCAAATGCATGCATAAAAGCTATACATAGTGTAGTGAAGAGTATTTTCATAAATAATATCCTAATAAGTTTTTTAAATTGTTTAAATTAATTCTCCAAAGTTTAATTCAATCTTGATTTTAAGAGGTCAACTTTAAATTTCTTCTAATTTGGAGGGTTTGTGAATGGTCAAATATAATTGCAATCATTTCACAAATTATTGTTCATTATTTTTTATTAAGTTTTATAAAATTGACTTAAATTTTGAGCTCAAACACTACCATATGGCAAGTCTACTCATCATATTCATGCGTATTTTATTCAGTCAGTAATCAATATTAATAGTAGGCGACAATATCAACAGTAGGCTAAGTATTACACGCAAACACCAAACAAGTGGCGAAGAATTACACGCACACACTCACACGAGTGTGTTGATCTAACGGTTTAGAGCGGTGTCATAGTAAGTCAAATTAACCATATTATATATTTAAATATATTCATATATATATATCAATATTTTACAATGAAACATCATATAACTTTTTATGCTCATTTTAAAAGTATTAATAATTATCATAAAAGTATACACTCAATAAAACTTATATTTGTAATGATTAGATTTATCTAATACTAAACTCAACTCATCCTAATTGATGTTACCCTTTTTCAAACTTATTATATGTCCTCTTTCCCCATTCTCTCCCTGTTTTTTGGATTGCTGTGGATGACTTTAATATTATTACATTTTACAGGGACCAATTTGCAATTACCCCAACTTTTTTCTTTCTTTCTCTCTTGGCCATTTATTATCTCCAGCATGAACAGAGAGTGACACATCTCAGATACATTGTTCAGTTATAAAGTTCAAATTATCCTACAATTATATATGCATGATCACACCTTCTTATCTTCTTCTCTTTAGTTTTTTCACATTATTTAAGCATCACTTTAGCTTTCACACTCCACAAAACAAATAACAAATTAAACCCTTTATTGGGATTTAGTTAAACCCTGTTGATCATGTCATGTGTACACATTTTGGTGCAGATTAGTTGCAGCTGAATAGAGATCAAGAAGCCTGCTTTTGAGCTATCTGAGCTTCATTCGAAGTTGGAAATTTGTTTCGATAAAATTCCGAAAAAATTCGAGCACTCGTCGAAACTTGAGGTAATCGGGATTCATTTTCTACTTCATTTCTGACCAAGAAATCTTCAGTTTATTTGTGTGTGCGTGTGTGTGTGTGTGTGTGTGTGTGTGTGTGTGTGTTTTTCAAGAAATCATGCAGGTTGAAATTGAACAAGACTTTTATTTCTTTGATCAGTTGTTAAAAAGTCCATTACGCCCCTCAACTTCTCCAAATGGCCACACGCTCAAACTCCCTTTCCCTCCAAATCCTACTCACTTTCTTGATCTTCTTCTCATGTCCCTTGATTTCCATGTGTCTGAAAGTGGAAAAACAAGCCCTGTTGGAATTCAAGAGACAGTTGGTTGATCCTCTCAACTACCTCGAATCGTGGAAAGATTCCGATTCCGATTCCGATCCAGATTCTGATTGGCATTGCCGTTTTTACGGAGTTCTCTGTGATCAAGAAACCGGGTTCGTCACAGAAATCTCACTGGACAACAAATCCCTTTCGGGAGTTATATCGCCATCGATTTCGCTTCTGACGAATCTAACTTCTTTGGTATTACCCTCCAATCAGATCACGGGGGCTCTTCCAGCCGAGCTGAAAAACTGCGTAAATCTCGAAAATTTGAATGTCTCGAATAATGCCATGAATGGCACTGTTCCTGACTTGTCGGGCCTCAAGAAGCTGGTAGCTCTCGACTTGTGTGATAACGAGTTTTCCGGGCCCTTCCCTGGATGGCTCGGGAACTTGACGGAGCTTACGTGGCTCAGTTTGGGCGATAACAGCTTCGAGGAGGGCAAAATCCCGGAGAATATCGGCAGTTTGAAGAAGTTGAACTATCTCTATTTAGGAGGCTCTAACTTGAGGGGCGAAATACCTGAGTCGATATTCGAGCTCCAGGCGTTAGGCACGCTTGATATATGCCGGAACAAAATATCCGGCGAGCTGTCCCGGTCGATCGGGAAATTGAAGAGCTTGTTCAAGATCGAGCTCTACTGCAACAATCTAATAGGACGATTGCCAGACGAGCTAGCCGAGCTGACCCTTTTGCAGGAGATCGACGTCTCGGTAAACCGAATGTCGGGCGAGATTCCTTATAGGATGGGGAATCTTACGAGGCTAACCGTCTTTCATGTCTTTCGGAATAATTTTTCCGGCGAGATACCGGCCGGTTTTGGGGAGATGCGTAATCTAATCTCGTTTGCGGTGTACATGAACGGGTTCACCGGCCCGGTCCCTCGGGATCTCGGCCGTTTCTCGCCGCTGGACACTATCGATATATCGGAGAATAGGTTCTCCGGTCCCTTGCCGGAGTATCTCTGCCAGAAAGGGAGCTTGCAGAAGTTGCTGGCCATTGGAAACGAATTTTCCGGCGGCTTTCCGGAGAGTTACGCCGAATGCACCTCTTTGAAGAGGCTGAGGGTCAGTGGAAACCGGCTCGAGGGTCCGGTTCCGGTTAAGGTGTGGGCCCTACCGAACGCCGAAATGCTCGATTTTAGCGGAAACAACTTCTCGGGGGACATATCGGGCGAGATAGGAGCTGCTTTCCAGTTAAAGGAGTTGATCCTCTCGGATAACCGGTTCTCCGGCGAGCTGCCGGAAGAGCTCGGGAAGCTCGTGCAAGTCGAGCGAATCTCTTTGAGCAACAATGAATTTTCCGGCGAGATCCCGAGCGAGTTCGGCGGTTTGAAACAGATAACATCTCTGCAAATGGACTCGAACGCGTTCACTGGATCTATACCTCCCGAGCTAGCCAGCTGCCCGAGGCTGGTCGAGTTGAACCTCGCCTCGAATTCTCTGACGGGAAGAATCCCGAGCGGTTTTTCAAGAATGACCTCGTTGAACTCGCTGAACCTATCGAGAAACGGGCTCACGGGCCCTATCCCGACGGGTTTCGACAAGCTGAGGCTCTCGCTCGTTGACCTCTCCTACAACCATCTCTCGGGAAGCGTCCCGACTTATTTCATGAATGTGGCCGGTGATAAGGCCCTGTTTGGGAATCAAGATTTATGCGTGGATGACGAAAACGAGAGCACGAAGAGGTTGGTGAATTCGAAACTCGGTTTTTGCAGGGGGAATAATAACGGTAACAAACGGTTCATCTTCGAGAGCAAAGTAGTTATCATCTGCACGATTTTGCTAGCTCTCGTCGTTTTACTGCTCGGGTTAATGCTCGTGGGTTATAGGAACTCGGAGTGGGCTGAGGACGAGAAGGACTATAGTCCCAACTGGAGGATCAAGATTTTCCATAAGAACGAGTTCGAATTTGACGTAGATGAATTATGCGAAACGGACGAGGAGAATCTGATAGGGTCTGGGAGTACAGGGAAGGTCTACCGGCTCGACTTGAGAAAAGGCACTAGCTCGGTGGCCGTTAAGAAGCTGTGGAAAGGTAGTGGTGTCAAGTTAATGGAGTGTGAAATGGAGATAATGGGAAATATTCGGCATAGAAATATATTAAAACTTTACGCGTGTTTAACGAGAGGGTGTTCGCATTGTTTGGTTTTCGAGTACATGGCGAACGGGAGCCTTTTCCAAGCCTTACGAGGCGAGATAAAGTTCGGTCAACCGGAGCTTGACTGGTGCCGGAGGTATAAAATCGGGCTTGGCGCTGCAAAAGGGCTCGCGTATTTGCATCACGACTGTCGCCCGCCGATCATCCATAGGGATATAAAGTCGAGCAACATTTTGCTCGACGAGGATTATGAAGCCAAGATTGCGGATTTTGGTGTGGCGAAGGTGGCGAATCATATCTCTCACGGTGGTGGGTCCGAAATGAGCTGTTTCGCGGGCACTCATGGATATATAGCTCCTGGTAAGTTCTTTCTTTTTAAAGTTTTAATCCATTCTGCAAATTGTAAGCTTTTTGCATTGATTGGTTCTGTTTTCTTTTGGCAGAGAAGGGTTATTCACTCAAGCTGACAGAAAAAAGCGACGTGTATAGCTTTGGGGTTGTCTTGCTGGAGTTAGTGACCGGAAAAGGGCCGATAGAAGAGGAATATGGCGAAGGGCGGGACATAGTACACTATGTCTCGACTCATTTTGACAGTAAAGAGAATGTATTGAAAATTCTCGATCGAAAGATAGTTTGTGAGGAAGTTCGAGATGACATGATTAAGGTCTTGATGATTGCTACTCGTTGCACGAGCAAGCTTCCGCATCTAAGGCCGACTATGAAGGAAGTTGTTAGAATGCTAACCGATGCGAAACCGGCCGGATTCAAATCTACGGATAATTTTGCCGGAAAATGATAGGACTTTTAAATTATTTTGCTTTATATTATTTTTTTTTTCACCCTGGTTAGTAGTAATGCTGGCTTTTTTTTTCATCTGATTTTTGTGTAGATAAATTGTACTAGACTTTGAAAATTTATGGAGTTTCAAGCAAATGGAATGGTGTTCAGTTTAGTTTAATATGGAAGGTTTGATTGATGCTTGAATGAAGTGTTGATCTGCATATTTTTAGTTCTCTTTAGAACAAGAAAGTGCATGTTGGGCAATGGCATCAAGTATTTTGATATAATTTTTTTAGAAACTACCGTATATATTAAGAACTAGTATCTTCACCCGTGAGATGCACGGAACATATTTATTAAAATGTTTTAATAAATACATTAATATATATATATATATATAATAAAAAGTAAATGACAAATAAAAAACATTATTATTGAATAGATAGTAAAGTACAATATTGTATGGTATTACAATTTGTGGAAAACTTATTAGTTTTCTTTTCCCCATTATCGTCCCCACATATTAATATCTTCAATCCTTGTGGATTAGTGACTCGAGACACATCAACCTATAATTGATCATGACTAAACACGGGTCTTTTCAAATAAAGTCCGACATGGGATAACGACTGCTCTTGACTCTTGTTGATTGTCATTGCGTAAGAAAACATAAGAGTAAATTGTTTACGCTGGAACTTGAAGGGTATCCTGAGATCAAATGGAGTTAAGAAAATTCTTGGTACCAATACCTTATGTCCAACATTTGATCATGTTAGAATCTTACATTCGAACACATGAGTGGAAAGCTTCGTTATCACCAAGCGTGTTCTATTATACAGTCCAATCGAATGGTCAATGTTTCTCAACAACATGACAGGAGACTCAACATTTAAGTGCAACTCATGATTTAGAACACCAAAACATTTTATTCTATTTAAGAACTCCAGCGTGTGCAGGTCATGGAAGAAATCAACACCACCATCAGATTTGCATGTGGTATCAGAACTTAAATAAGTATTACCATCCGATTGATTCAAAGATGACATATATTCATTGATGGAGTCAACAACATCTAACGTTGGATCTTATATAGCCCTATCTTTCAAATAGATGAGATCATCAATGCAATCTCTAACCATTGGATAAGTGCTTTCCATGATGGTTACAATGGGGTCAAGCACAACACCAACATTTGACGTGGATAACATATTTTCATCGCAAAATTATATTTCGAAACAAAAGTTTAAGTGTTGAAAAAAGACATGAAAGATTGTAATTAGAGACAAAGAAATTAATCAAAGTCTTTGAAAAAACTTGGTTTGAACACAACACCAATATTTGATGTGGATAAAGTATTTTCATTGCAAAAATCACGTCTCGAACTAAAAGTTTATGCATTAAAAAAAGCCATGTAAAAGAGTAATTAGAGACCAAAATAAAAAAAAAATTAATCAACGTCTCCAGTAAAATTTGGTTTCAAACACAACACTAACATTTAATGTGGATAACATATTTTCATTGCAAAAATCATGTTTTGAAACAAAAGTTTAAGTATGAAAAGTAAAAAACTATGGAAGTAGTAAATAGATACCAAAATAGAAAAATTAATCAAATTCTCCCAAAAAACATGGTTTCGAACACAACATCAACATTTAAAACGGATCACATATTTCATCGCAAAAATCATGTTTCGAAACAAAAGGTTAAGTATTAAAAAAACTCATGTAAAATAGTAATTAGTGATGAAAATAGAAAAATAAATCAATGTCTTCGAAAAAATAGTTTCCAATACAACGCTAACATTCAATGTGGAAAACATATTTTCATCGCAATAATGATGTTTCGGCACAAAAATTTATGTATTGAATAAAACTATGGGAGATAGTAATTAGAGACCAAAATAGAAAAATTACTCAACGTCTTTGAAAAACTTGGTTTCAAACACAATACCAACATTCGACCTGGATAACATATTTTCATCGCAAAAATTAAGTTTTGAAACAAACGTTTATGTATTTAAATTAAAACCCATGGAAAATAGTAATTAGAGATCAAAATAGAATCATTAATCAACGTCTCCAAAAAAACTTAGTTTCAAACACAATACCAACATTCAATGTGGATAACATATTTTCATCGCAATAATCATGTTTTTGAAACAAAAGTTTATGTATTAAAAAAAATCCATGTAAAATACCTATTAGGGACAAAATAGAAAAATTAATCAACGTATCCGAAAAACTTGGTATACACAAAAATTGTGGAATATTAATGTAGATTTCAGTCTTCTTGAACTATGGGAGAACAATATAATAATACAGATTTTGAATATGAGATTTATAGCGTGAATTACCCGTATTCTGTACTCGAGTATCTTAGTAAGTTTAGGTGTATTTTGTTAAGCATTCACCATTAATAATGCTTAATTTTTATTGACATTAATATGATTCATGTATTTTGTTAAGCATTCACCAGCAAAATTTCAAAACTAATACACCAAGTTGGACGTTATCAACAAAAGAGACATTTTATTGTTCTTCACGGTAAAGAAACATTTAGTTGACAATTTGGTCGGAAACAATACATTAATCACTCAACATGGATAAAAAAGCTGACGTGGTCGGGTGAGATAATGACGTGGCATTATAAATTTCTTTAATTCCTACGTGTTATATACGTGGCGTGATGTGTCATCTTTTTCTCCAAGTACACAACTACACATAGATAAATGAAAATAAAAATAATCCAAAAATAAATAAATAAATAAATAATAAAAACACATCGAAAAAATAAAACAATAATGATAAAAATAGAAAAAAAAACCCAAAAATATATTGAAAAAATATATTCCGTTCTATTTTGTTAACTATATATTAATAAAATATATAAAAAATTTATACTCGTTAATATATATTGAAAAATACAAAATAATTCGTTTAATATAAATATATTTCACTAATATATATTAAAAATACTAAAAAGAAAAGAAAATCGTTAATAAGAATAATTATATATAATTTATCATATTATCTAATATAATACTTTACATAATATTTTTTATTTAATATAAATAAATATATTAAATATAAATATGAATCAAGAATATAAATATATATTTAAAGAAATTAAAATATTTTTTAAAATATATTTTTTTTGAAATAAATTAAAATATTATTTTTTAATTTAAATTTATATTTTGTGATTTACATTTATATTTAATATATTAATATATATAAATAAATAAAATTTTATGTAAACTATTATATTAGATAATATAATAAATTATATATAATTATTATTATCAACAAAATATTTTTTAATATATATTAGCGAAATATAATTATATTTGACGAAATATTATTTTTTTTTATTCTTTTACTAACTTTTTAATATATATTAAATAAATATATTTTTTTATAATATATAGTTAAGGAAATATATTTGTTATATTTTTTTATTTTTGGATTTTTTTAATTTTTATTATTATTTTTATTATTTTTATTTTATTTTTTATTTTTTTTGCTGATGTGTCTTTATATTTATTTATTTTTGGATTTTTTATTGTATTTTTATTTTTTATTTATCTATGTGCATTTGTGTATTTGGAGATAATGATGCCACATCACGCCACATATATAACACGTAAAAAATTAAGGAAAGTTATAATGCCACTTCACTACGTAATCCGACAATGTCACCTTTTTTTATATAGGTAGGGTGATTAATGTATCTTTTCCGACCAAATCATCAACTACATGTTTCTTTTTCGTGTGGGACAACAAAATGTCTCTTTTGTTGTCAACGTCCAACTTGATGTATCATTTTTGAAATTTTGCCAGCATTCACCATCATCATATATTCATCTAAGGCAAAATTTCAAAATTGGTCTTATAACTTGGCCACTGTCCAAAAAATCACCCCTATATTGACCACTTTCAATTTAGGTCCTATAATTTGTCGATTTCATCAATTTTGGTCATTTTTATCCGGACCCTGGTTTAAAAAGTGACGTGGCATGACATGTCAGTTTTTTTAAGGTTACATGGCGTGATTATGATCCATGTGCCACGTCAATTTTGGTCCTATAATTTGTCGATTTCATCAATTTTGGTCCTTTTTTCATGCCACGTCACTTTTTAATCCAGGGTAAGGATAAAAAAAGAACCAAAATTGATGAAATTGACAAATTATCGGATCTAAATTGAAAGTGGTCAATATAAAGGTGGTTTTTTGGACAGTGGCCAAATTATAGGACCAATTTTAAATTTTTGCCATTCATCTAATAACTTAATTTTAATAGGTTATTCATAATAAATATTTTTTAACATGTTTTTTTGGATCTATACCTAATGTTAGAATGAATTAATACGTATGGTTATGTAAACTAATACTACTGCCTTAAAAAACATATTAATGACATATGTAGAGTTCATGATATTAAATATATTTAAGGTATATTAGAATATGGTTGAGCGTAGTTGATGTTATATTTTTTTAAATATAGAGTAAAAGAATATTAATATTATTTTTAAATTTCCAAACGGAAATGAATTGAGTAAGTTACCATTATTATTTTTCATTCTTAAAATTAACCAAAAATAACTGAATATGAATTTAGTTATGTTAATGCATTTCCCATATTATTTGGCATTCTTAACAAAAATAATTAACTTTATAATTAATTACCCAACTAAATGTAGAAATGTTGCCAATTATAGTCATTGCATATAATCTATATTTAGCAATAAATTCCATCAACTCCCTCTTTATATATATAGATAGATATCAATTTGTTTATTTATTAATATTTTTTACAGTAATAATTAGTAATATAATCTAGAATTCTTAATATGGTTGTTGAGTTTTATTTTTGTTTATAGTCAAGGCACACGGGTGAATAAGAAAATTAGGGAATGAAAAGAGAAAGATGTATTAATTATCTGTCAATAAGAAAATTAGTGAATGAAATGAAAAAGATGTATATTAATTAGATAATAAATTATCTAATAAAAGTGG